GAATTAAGGAACTTTATAAAAAGCATCCACAGCAGAGAAAGAGGGCACATGGCAGAGCTAACACATAAAGAAGGAAGAATTAAATCAAGACAAGACTCAACAGTACTTTACAAGAAGTACATCTGTTAAGAGCTGAAAAAATATTTCCTTTTATAAATCAGTTTTCTATCAGACTTCATTACTGAACTCTCTGAAAACATTTTTCTAAATTCCTACAGCAGTGTTATCATCATTTAAATACAAACAATCAGACCCGAGAAGCTGAGTAATACCATTAACAGAAATAAAATATTGCTTTGGTATATTTTTAACAAGTACCAAAAGATAATATTAATTACATTTTCTTTTGAGCAGTTTCTTAAATTAATTATGTGAGAGGTTGATTATAACTAGACTACATTTGCAAATGTAGAACATGCCTTAAAGTTATAAGTAGGGCTCTTCAAAGTAAATTTTATCATATATCTTATTATTAGAAGACAATAAGAACATAGCTTTAAAGTGATAATGTTGCTGTTAAGTGTCCTTGAGTCAATTCTGACTCATAGGGACCCTATATAGGGTTTTTGAGGAGCAGCTGGTTGGTTTGAATTGCTAACCATGTGGATCAAACTGACCTTGCGGTCCAGTGCTTTATCCTACAGCACCATACCATGACTCCAACATATATTATTCCACATACAGATATTTAAGTACAACTCATCTTGAACCCATTAAATAGATAAGATGTGTTAGTCTGTGTTTTTTTTCTTCTGTCAAAGCAGCAAATAAGAAAAAGTAATCACAGAACAATTTATAAGTACTTTTTCTCTCCACTAACAATGTCATGTGTCCCCCCACCTTATATTTGCTTTATTTTCATAAAATTACACTAGAAATGAATTGATGTGACAAAATTAGACTAGAAATGAATTGATGTGTACAAAATTTGGCATCAGTCCAAAACTATAAGTTTTCCGTTTTCAAACATTAAATCTACATTGTGGTCATTTATCATTTTAATTTTAAGTAATGGGAAAAATAGCTTTAAAATGACTTATAAAGAATTGCATACACCTGTTTCAACAAAAATAAATTCTTTTTGTATGCAGTTACAGAATAAATTATTAATATATTCATATTCAAATATCGTTTTCTTAGATACAGATTTATCATATACCTGTCAAGCATATACCTGAAACTAAAAAAAAGTCAGAAATAATATAAGTATTCTAGAGTGAAATCAAGGAACATTAAGCTTACCTTAAGTAAATTAAACAACAGTATTAGTAAAAAAAAAAAAAAAATACACAATAGAAGAATAATGAAACTTTCAAATTATTACATGAAGAATTTAAAAGAAATCTACCATTAGTACAGGCATAACCTGGAGATATTGCAGGTTTGGTCCCAGCCTACTGCAATAAAGTGAAAATCTCAATAAACAAATCACACGTTTTTTTGGTTTTCTGGTGTAATGGTTAAGGAGCTCTGGTAGCCTAGTGGTTATGAGTCAGGCTACTAACCTCAAGGTCAGTGATTCGAAACTACCAGCAGTTCTGTGGGAGAAAGAGAAGGCTTTCTGATCCCGTACAAGATTTACAGCCTCGGAAACCCTATACAGGGTCGCTATGGGTCAGAGTCGACTCGACAGCACTTAACAACAACAAGTGTAATGGTTAAGATTCTGTGTCAACCTGACTAGGCCAGAATTCCCATGGTTTAGCAGTTAAGATGTGCTTATTCCCATGGTGATGAAACTTAATACAGGCATAGCTAACTCTTTGATGAGTGGCTAAGTGGCTATAAGCAGCCAATCAACTGAAGGGCTGCTTCCTTGGGGGTGTTGCCTGCTCCACATATAATGGACATGAGGAAAAGGCTCTCTTCTACTGGAGACTTGGGACTCTGTAA